CACCTTGACTTCAGACTTCTGCCTCCTCGCTGTGAGAGAATGCATTCTGTAGTTTAAGCTGTTGAGTCACTGAGTCTGTGGTAATGTGTTTATGGCAGCCCTGGGGAGCACACAAAGACACACACGCACACACACCACACACATACACACACACACACACGATTGGCTCCAGCCTCAGTGATGAGGTGGGTAGAGTTGCCATTGGGGGCTGTCTCTGTCCTCCTTCCCTTGTGAACCCACACACACACACGATTGGCTCCAGCCTCAGTGATGAGGTGGGTAGAGTTGCCATTGGGGGCTGTCTCTGTCCTCCTTCCCTTGTGACTGGTCCAGGGAGATCTACAAAGCTCATGGCTCAAGCAAGAGCTCGGTCATTCTTAATCCCTCCTTTCCTTCCTGGAGTTCTTAACCATATGTACCCCTCAAAACCTGCTCTCAAGAATGGCTTGCGTGTTTATGTGCACCAGAAAATGTGTGCAAGAATGCTGTGGTTGCTTTAATCAGATTAATTAAAAACTGGAAATGACCCAAATGTCCCAGAACAGGTAAATACATCGTGGCACATTCACTCAATGAAATACTACTCAGCAGGGAAAAAGGAATGCCTAACGTTACGCGAGCATTATGGTGAAACTTGCAGACATGGTGTCGAATATGAGGCAGACACTAAAGAGTATGTCCCCTGTGAGTTCATTGATAATGACGGCAAAGGACAGGTAGAGCAGGTCGATGGTGGAAAAAGTCAGAAGAGTGATTACCTCTGAGTGATGGGATTGACTGGAGGGGTTTGAGAGAGACTCCTGGGGTGCTGGGAATATCCTGTGTTTGTGCTGGGTGGTAGTGACACGGATGTATGCATATAGAAAAATTTGCCAAGCTGAATTTGTGCAATTTGAGGTGCAAATTTGTCACCTCAATAAAAAGTTCATTTAAGAAACTGGCTACCCAGGAAGTCTGTGACAGAGGTCACTGGACAATGTTTCCTGGGGACATTTGCAGCTTGAGTCTGGACTGTAGGCCAGGCAAAGGCTTGGTCTCTGGGACAGACACAGGTGACATCATTAAGTGCATGTAGGAAGGAACTCATTCTTCAGTTGTGACTGGGTTGGGAACACACACACACACACACACACACACACACACACACACACACACCCCTTTTGGCAGCTTCTCATCCTCACCCATAGTTGTAGGTTTGAGTGGCTATGTCTGTTCCCCAGGTCCTATGAAGCCAGGTCTGAGGCTGTCAAGGGACTCTCGGTTGACAGACAAGAGTGGGCAGGAGGCTAGTGAAAGGGACCTGCTTCTTCTCTCCCTCCACAGCTCTGGAGTGAACTGGCCTGGGGTAGGTGGCTGCAGGGCCTGCCTTGTCCCTGTGTCGCATGGTGTCCTCAGGCCCAGGACCTTTCATGTGGCTGACTGCCCATGGCACCTGTTGACTGTAAATGTCTCAACCAGGACTGCTCAGTGAGACTAGGAGTGTCAAGGCAGCCAGACCCCCCGGCATGGATCTTGGGGTGGACATGGGAGGTGCATGAGAACCCACTGCAGTTGGCTTCCACAGGTGTGGATGAAATGTGCTGAGTTCTTCCGCAAGAAATCCCCTGTGATAAAGAAGAGCTACCTTATTCAGCTTTTGCCATCTGGGGCATGCACCAAACAGCTCTGAGTTATGTGGCAATGTTGCCATCTCACAGACCAGAGAACAGAGGATCCCTGACGTTCAGTAAAACCCTCAAGGTCACACAGAAAACTCAAGAGAGGGCAAGTAGCTGATGGTTCCATCAGACTGGGGCTGCCTGAGGACAGGGCTATGTCTCTCTTCTCAGCCTGGGGTTCCCTGAGGACAGGGCTTGATCCAACCCCAGTGTGGGCCCTCTCTGTAGGAGGAGCTGGCCTTGAACCTACCTTTCGTGGCACCCACACTGGGGCTGGGACATTGACAGTCAACAGCAGGTCCTTTGCTGTTCCTTGCCTTGGTTGTCAGCCCTAGGCCAAGCTCAGGCCTCTGCCCCCAGGTATGTCACAGGGTGGGGCCGTGGTCCTGGGGTTGGGAGGATGATGAGGGAAGACATGCTCTAGAGGAAGCTGCCCCATTGGCAGCTGTGGGGTGAGATCAGTGGGGTGCCCCAGCCTCCTCTCTTCCTAACTGGACCCACTGGGGTCCGAACCACCCAGCCATGGCAAGGCCACACTGAGCAGAGGGCTGGCTGGACCCTGTCCCTCCCCAGGAGGCTCAGTGGGAGAGGGGCTCCATCTGACAGCACATGGAGGGGCCAAAGTGTGGGGTGACTTCTGCT